GGCAACACATTCAGATATAAGCAGCTGTCGGATGTCCAACATGAGAGGGTGCGTGCGCATGTCGCTAATCATACGGCGATTACGGTGGACGAGACGAACAGCCGAGCCAACAGGCATCTTTCCCACACACCAACACATGGAAACACGCAACTTCACCTTCGTTTTGTTCTCTCTCTTCACGCAGGCTGAAGCCGCGTCCAGTCTTCGCCATCAATATCGCCACTGCGTTGTCCATGGTTTTCTCCCCAAAGTTGCCGGTCTCGTCTTCGAGGTTGGGAAACTCTAGGTTCTCAATCTCTTCTGCAAGGGTCGCGATCTCGACTGTGCAAGCGAATGGAACCAGTGCGCGAAGGTAAGCACATCGGAGCACACGGATGAGAAACGTACCAACAAAACAACGTACCAACAACACAGCAGTGAAATAACTTGCCATACCCATACGTTTATAGCCTGCCATACCTGGAGATGGTCCCCAGAGGCCTGCACCACCTGCAGGCGAAGGCTCGCCATCGGTATCTTCGCCTTTGCCGGCGTCGAAGGAAGCCCAGCAACTTCCTCCTCACGAACATCGAGCGTCTCGTCCTCGCTCCAAGCCAGCACCTCCTCCAGCTGCCAAGAGCTTGCCTCAGCAGCGGAATCAACCTCCATTTGCTGTCGTAGACTGGTATGAGGCTGGTGGTGTGAGCTGCTGAAGGGAACGCTACTATCGCGTCGGCCGCCAGCCGTCGTTGTTGTAGGCGCGTGTGGGCGTGCGCGCCTGCCGCGTTCTACTGAGGCATTATAATAATAATAGTTTTTTTTTGAAAAAGTGTGGCCCGTTAGGGGTACGCTTTTTGTTTTGTTTTGCAAAGAAAAAGCTATTTAGAGGGATCTTGTGTGGAGTATGTGCGCACGACAAAAAGAATAATTTTTATGCACAGGGGCGTGAAAAAGACGCGATGGCTGTCTGTCTGTCTGTCTGTCTGTCTGTCTGTCTGTCTGTCTGTCTGTCTGTCTGGTGTCTGCGCGCCCTAAATAACCCACCCAGCAGACTCGAGCCCATTTCACCATCTCGGCACCAAATTGCAAACTAAAACTTGCGCACAACAAGTAACATTTTGCCCGAGCTGTCCCAACCGCTACCTTTGCAATCCGTGGTCGGTGTCTCGAGATNGACACACACACATACTGCTGTTAGCGACGGCGGAGGAAGCGGGGAACGTTTGGTTGGTGTTCGTGATAAGTTGCTGCTGCGTGTGTCGACAGAGTAACGTAGCACAATTTGATTGGACAGTTTTGAATT